TAAAGAAGCTTTCTTCAAGGTGTCCTCTAAATCTTCTGTCTGTGAGGGCTATTTAAGTACCACACCTTTCAGAACCAATCAGTCCCAGAGGCCCCCTTACCCACAGTCTCTGCCCAAGCCACAAGGCTGCCCCGCAAAACAGGTGAGCAGGCAAAGTGAACTTACTGCTAAAATGCTTGGACTCCGCTGGAGTTTGTTGTAAGGGCTGTATTTCGGCTTCAGTGGTTTCCCTGCAACGCGATCCTTATGCCTTCGGCTAGAAATGTGCTGAAAGAAGTTTGATGCATTAGCTGAAGCTAAATGTGTTTTATTCCATGTAAAATATACATCCTAGATAGAGGTAGCTGGTTTCACCATTCCCAGTTCTAGGTCCATAGTTACTAAGTGGTGTGGGGAAAATCACCCAGGTCTCTAAGTCAAGACTTGCTCCTCACTCAATTGTAATGCCTCTCTCCCTTCCTTTCCTCTCTCTCTAGCTCTTATCCAACTTTGCCTGGCATTACCACCATGACTGATGAGTCTGTCTCCCTAACCAGATTTCAGGTCCGTGGAAGAGAGGCTGAACATCTCACTTATCTTCCAGAAGTTCCTGCTTGACCATAAGTTCCAGGTTACTGCTGTGCTCGCCTGTCTCTAACACCTCGGCTGAAATCTGACATATGGTAATAGTAGGTGTGCAAATATTTGGTACTGACTTTCCTCCACAGAGCAGCCATATTTTCTATATTGTATGCATCCTATATAGGTTAGTACATTTAACTGAGCACAGTGAGAACCATTATATAGATTAGGAGGGGCACAGTCAGGTGGTGACCCCCAAACAACAGGATACATTACCTGTTTGAGTTGAATTTCTGAATTAACATGAACATCACAGATTTCACAATGAAATGTCTTGTTCTGTAGTCCTGACCCCTTACTGCCATTCTGCGTCTTTAATCTTGATCCAGGTCTAGGATAGGACTTAATTGGACCAGCCCCATTACGAGCTTCAACCATGGTCTTGTGTTTAGATCCTAAAATAGAAAGAGACATATTAAATAGCTAATTAATAACTATATGAAATTCTTTGTTTTCTTATCCTTGAGAAGTATCTTCAGGCTGAATTTCCCATTGGGTTTATTTTTAATGACCATTTTAATTCTTATTATAAATTTAAGGAATTTTCATTGTAAACATGGAAAAATTATAAAAATGGGAAAACAGGAGTATACAATAAAGAAAATATTGAAAATACAGAGAAGCATAAGAAAATAATGACTTCCCATATTTTCACCACCCAGAGATAACCACAGTTATCATTTTAGTGTATTTTGTTTTAGGTTCTTTCTTCACAGTATATAAAAATAAATATAGTCAATAATATTGTGAGAAGTTTGCATGGTGAAAGATGATTACTAGAATTCGTGGGTGATCACAAAGTATAAAAATGTCAAATCTCTATATTGTATACCTGAAACGNTATATCTATACATATATAGATAGATAGATATAGATAGATAGATAGTTTTTAAATTTAATACAAACATAGTCATACTCAACATGTAGTTCTGTAACTTTTTATTTTCCCCACTTGGACATATATCATGGACATCTTTTCATTTAGATAATTATAGAGTTATGACATCATTTTAAATGATTGTGCTGCTTCCCACTGCATACTTATGTGTAAACCTTTTTAAATCTACAGGATTAATATCTTAGGATAAAGTCTTGGACATAGAATTCCTAGGTCAAAGGTTATCAATAATTGACGTGATGATACATAGGACCAATTATCCTTCAGAAAAGCTGAAGCAATTCTCATTACTAACAACCAACCATGCATGTGTCCATTTTCCCACTTTCACCAATAAAAAGTTTAGAAAATTTATAATTTTTTTGTAAATATGCTAGATCAAAAAGGTTGATTTCATTCATGTTACTTTAATGATGTAAACATCTTTATTAAGCATTTGCACATATTTTGTCTTTTCCTGATTGCCTTTTTGCCTGTTTTTTTTTTGGGGGGGATTGCTTGTCTTTCTTTTCCGAAAGAGTTCTCCCACCCCATTTTAAGAATTCTTGGCATAATAAAGATATAAATCTTTATATGTCACATAGATTGTAACTATTTTTCTTAGTTTGTCTTATATGTTTAAATCATTTTTATAATGTTTTTAAAATTCTTGACATCAGAAAAGTTTTATTTTTTATAACAGTAGTTGTAATTTTTTTGTTTTTACAACATAAAGAAGTATCTGAATTTTTTTTTCAATTTGAAACTCTATTTTTGTTACATGGAATATAAGATATAAAATTCAAACATATTTGTGATATGCAAACACTTTGCATTTACTTTGGCTCTATTGTCTTAGCATTACTTCTATTTGAATTACACCTTTGAGAATAGGAACACAAACTTATAAGTAATGAATTTGCTATTTCTTCTCCATTATAGATGTGTTTTCCTCTGTCTTTAGGTTAATGCTAAAGCCTCAAAATTGGCTAATTTGAGAGAATCTTACTTAAAATTCAGAAATTTAAAAAATGAAAAAAAAAGATTTTATTTTTCCACTTATTATAAAAGTTTATATAACAAGCTATAATTTACAAAAACATTTTTACATGTATAATTTTATTTGCTTCTCAGAACCACCTTGTGGGGTGGATACCATTATATATGTTTTATATATGTGAAAAACGAGGCTCTGGGGATATTACATAAAATCATTTTCTGACATAAAAATCACAAAACTAATGAGTGTGACATAATCAGGATTTGAATTCAGGTCTTTTGAGTGCAAATTATGTATTACTCTTACTTGATTCTCCTGTATCCTAATTTTAATTTTTCACTGTAATAAAAATGAAAAGCAGGTGCTTAATGACAAGCTTGTCCAATCATCTGTAGATAAGTGACTTCTTATAATGCATAATATGACACTAAGATAAATTCATCATACCCACAGAAGGAATTCTATCTGACAACCAGAGGTTTGATGCAGTTTGAGCACATAGGGAGAAAAATACATTTCATTGTCACTCCAGCTTTAGAAATTTTAGCCAGAGAAATCAAGGCGATTCCCTAGAGTCACACTCCATAGCCGCTGAGAACCTGCATCATGTCCCTTTAAATTTCCCCATGGAACTAATTACTTGGAGGAAGGAAGAAGACAAAGATGAGCACCCCCTGTGGCATATGCTCTGGCACTACACAGCTTCTCAACCCACCAAGGTACCAGAAACTGGCATTTTCCCAAAGAGGCCAAGTCACCTCTGATATTAATTGAGGGCCGTCATATTAACAAAACTGGGATCTGATGTAAGGGACACTGTAAAGAAAGGCTAGAATTCACACAGCAGACCTACAGAGGTGAAAGGAAATCCTTCCACCTGTTACTTAAAGATGCTTATGCTTATCAAGGGTGTATGTGTTGATGCTAGCTTAATCTTTTATCTGTCAAAGAGTTCCTGGCCATCTCTCCTTTCCTACCATGATCCTTCTCTCCAATGGCACCCTACACATTGGGCAGCCATTTCTAAAAACATCCGTTCCAAACTCAGTCTCCTCAATGAGTCTCTTTAGACCCCCAAAGGGAATCTTAGCACAACAGGATTTCCATCTGATGCTCTATCAGCTCTTTCTTTTTGTTTTTTTTTTTTGTTGTTTTTTTTCCATTGGGAATCCCTTGGTTCTCTTTCTTAGCTACATTAACTGTAGTGTTAGTTTTCCTTAAAGCACTTCCTGAGAGAAAAATTCGACATGGCCATTTCTGCTCCAGAAAATAAGAATTACCTTAGGGCACAGAAGGAACAAATTAGGGACGATGTGTTTGGCGCATACAAATAAAAAATTATTTTTGCCTTTACAGTAGTTTAATTTTGTTAGACAGGTATCAGTACAGCTTTAACTAAGAGGTCTTTGGAGCTACATTCCCCTCTGCCCTGGTCCTATCCAAGGTTAATACATGATTGACTTTAGCTTTCTGCAAATCCCTTTCTCTGCCTATTTATGAATGAATTTCACAATGTGCCTTTAAAAACTCATTATTTAGTTTTGAATACCCAAGAGGTTGCTTCTCTCCTGAAGAATAATTGTACTTGAGATGAAGAGGAATGCTTCTGAGACAAGGGTTGCCAGATTTAGCAAAGAAAAACGGTCTATCTACTTAAGTTTGAATTTCAGATAGACAACGAATATTCTGTTAATATTATATCCCAAATATTGCATATTTATTTATGGGACATAGTTATGCTTGTACAATATCCTACTAAAAGTTATGAGAATATTACACTAAAAATTATTCATTGAATTTCATATCTGAAATTCAAGCTTAACTGGATGTTTTATATTTTATCTGGCAATCCTACCTGAGAGTGGTTTTCAGATTCTAGATTCTACAGAGATCAGAGCTGGACTGTGTCAGAGTAAGCAGCCCTTTTTTTTTTTTAACTTTCCCAGTAAGTGGAGGGGTTAGAGTGGTAGTCTTTTCCAAAAAGAAATGGCATAGTAAGGGGTATTAGTTCAAATATGTCTGAGCCCTCAGGATTGACACACTCTGCCACCTCAGAATCAGAGTGGATGATAAGATATACGTGTTTAACAATGTTTTATAAATCATTGTTTGAAACTATTCATTTTTAAGCTATTCATTTTAAGCTATTTTCTGGAGGCATTCATTTTAATTAATTGTTATTCTTTTGTCCTTCCTCCCTGAGGTGATTTTTTAAAAAAAATCTTCAACTCTATAAACCTAATCAGTAAATTCCAGAGTCTATTTAAATATTGACATTAAAATTGTTTTGAGGATTGTAAAAAGCGTTAATGGGATAGAGGGTGATACAAGAGAAATGAAATAGAATTGCCATTGGAGTCAATAAAAAACAAACAAACAAAACAAACTTCTCCAAAGTATTAAGTGAACATAGTTCCTTCAGAATGGAATGTCTATAAGCCATATCTGAAGGTCCAACCAAGGTTTAGTGTAACTAGTATTCGAGTTCAAATGAGTCCCACTAAAAAACCAAACCAAACAACAACAACAACAAATTCTGAATGTCAAACTGGAATCCTAACAGACTCTAAAACTAACCGTATTATAAGTCTAGAATGCTAAGGTCAACAATTTTCAAATAGTTGGATAAACTCTTTAATAGAGGAAGTCTATTGCAATGTGTCGCAATATATCACAGCTGCAATGCCATCCACTGGGCTTCATTTTTTAAAAATGAGAATTTAAGTCCTACCCCAACTTAATTCTTTTCATTTTCAAATACTGACATGGTTTGGGAAGTAGGGGTATTTATAATAGCTTTGTTACCTCTCCCCTCAAAATTCCATAACAGAATGGTGGATTAAAGATGGCTACAAAGTCTTTGGTCCACCTCACATTGAAAAGTGAATAATTTCCTTCCCCTTTAACCTGGATTGGCCTTAGTGACTTGCTTGATCAATAGAATGCACCATAAGTGACATGCTGAGAGTTTTGAAACAATTTTATAAGAAGCCTTTTANGACTTTGGAAATGTGTAAGTGGTTCCATCATATTCAAGGAATTCTGCCTTTAGATTGATACTAGCTAGTCAATAAGACAGATCCTAAAATCAGGAAAGTCACTTATACAGTAATATATTTAAATTGTGGCCTTCTTTCTGGATGTGTAAACTTATAAGCATCGAAGTCTAAATTCATTATTTCTCATTTTAATTCCTTGATATTTTTATCAAAATCCATTATATTATTTCTCTTTCCTTACAGACATTTTTAAAGCCTCCTTATTTTGTCTATTAGGAAGTTTAATTAATGTACTGTTTACTTCTGTTTCTTTTAATAAAGATGCATGTCATCTGGAACTTGTGGTTAATACGAATTCCACTTTCAAGTATTCCCTCACCTAATGCTAATTAGCAGGGCTTCTGACGGTCTTAATTATTTCCTGATTACTCAAACATTGTTTTAAAGGTTTTATCCTATAGGATTTTGAAGCAAAATCTGCTTAGCTACATCAGAATTGCCCTTTGTAACAGATATCCA